ATGTTTATGAAATAATTTTTTTTTAAGCCACCTATTCTAGAATATGCACAGAAGTTTTCACTTACAAAATTTTCTCAGGCCATGCCTGTTTCCGGTAAGACTGCTGCCTCTGATACCAATGGTTGAGAAGGGGGACTTCCACAATTCCTCTGACTTCTAAGCATGCATATATGCAACCCTCTTGAAAGACAAATATGATTTGCTATTTATCTATATTATGAAATGAGTGTTGTGTGGGAATAAATTCTGTTAGTTTGACTGAATTACCTTACCTGAAACGATGGCACGTGGGAATTTCCATTATCCTTTGCTTAATTAGGAAAGCTCAAGACGCTCCTATTAATCTCTTTCTCTGTAACTCATCCTTAAAAATCCTACTCCATATAGCTTTTACAGCAAATAAATTTTCGTGTCAATATTTGGGAGTTTCTTTTCTTTCTTTTCTGGACAAGTGACAAATTGGGCATCACGTCAGCAAATTTAAGTTTTCAGTGTGAAAGCTGGACTGACTTCTGTGAACTATTCACATGCTTAAGGTTAGGGCACAGAAGAAAATGATCTTTTGACTAAGGCAGTTTAACGTTTTACTTCCCCTCAGTTTCAGATATGTTTGGGTAAGATTTGTTTGGGCATGTGCTCCTCACTCCTTTCTCTGAAGAATTCACTTCAGTCACGTTCAGTGGCTATTTAAACCACCGAAACTGTGAAGTCTCACACAATCACAGAATAGGTGGGGCTAGAAGTGACCTCTGGAAATTATTTGGTCTTACCAAGCAGTATCATCTGGAACAAGCTGCCCACAACTGCGTCCAGTTGGAGTTTGAATATCTCCAAGGATGGAGACTTCATACATTCTTTGGGCAACCTATGCTAGTGCTCAATCACCCTCACAGTAAAAAAGTGTTTTCTTATGTTTAAATGGTGTTTCCTGTGTTTCAGTTTTGGCTCGCGGTCTCTTGCCCTGTCACTGTGTACAGTGCTTCTTCAATGCTCCCGTCAGGTGTTTCTACACACTGATCAGTTCCCCCTCTGAGCGTTCTCTTCTCCAGGCTGAACAGTCCCAGATCTCTCAGCCCTCTTTGTGTGAGAGATGCTCTAGTCTCTTAATCATCTTAGTAGTCCTTCACTAGAATTGCACTGGTAGCTCCATATCTCCCTTGTACTGCAGCTCCCAGCACTGGACACAGTACTCCAGAGGTGGCCTCACCAGGACTGAGTAGAGGGGGAGGACCTTGACCTGTTGACAATGCTCTTCCTCAAGCAACCCAGGATCCTTTTGGCCTTCTTTGCTGCAAGGACACATTGCTGGCTCATCATCAACTTGTTGTCCACCAAGACCCCCAGGTCCTTCTCTATAAAGCTGCTTTCTAGCCAGCTGAGCTGCTCTTCAGCCGGTCAACTGGGAAACACATCACCAAAAACTGAATTACTGTTTTTCATCTGATTGACAATTCTGTAAACTAGCCAACCTCACATGAAGGTGTATCTGAATGTGGGCATACACATATGGTTTAACACCTGATTGCTTGGTTCATTAGCCCATCAGGATCAAGGGAATAACTGTTAATTTTGGATTGGCCTAGGATGTCTTTCATGTCATTTTTCTCCTGAATACATGTCTGAGATGCCTTCCCCCATGGACATTTTCTATACTCTTTTTGGAGGCAGGGTGCGGCGCTGTTAATTGCAGGTGGAATTATGACTGCCTGTCTGTGTCTTCGCTCCTGTGAGAAGTCAGAGTTGATGACAAAGTTGTTCTGGCACTTTGGCCTTTTCTGGGTTCTTCCTGTGGTCTTATCCAGAGATGTTGGAAATAGTGTTGAATTCAAACTCCTCATTAATCAACGATTGCTTTGGAGTTCTTTTCCTGCCTATATGTCAAAGTAGATGTTATGGCTGGGATGTGAAGAAAACACTGAGACACAGCCTTATCAAATGAATAGGTTCAAAAAGTGTGTTCCTCCCCTGTATTTCCTTGGAAGCTTCAGGAAAGGGCTTGAGGGCTTCTGCGCTTTCCTCCTTCTTGTGCTTGTAATTGCAGCATCTCAGTTGCATGCAGATGAATTCTCTGGAGCCTCCATTACTCAACTGCTAAAAACAGCTAGACGGTATTATTCAGAGGCAGTGAATAACAAAGCCCAAAAATTAAGAGTAGGGAGGAAAGAGAGAGAAAAAGGCTTTTCTACACCAAAAGTAACCCAAGAGATTGCAGCTAAAATGTAGCATAAAATTGTTACTTCTCATGGTACATTTCCTTCCAATCAATTAACAGTGGCATCACAATGCAGCATTCACCCCAGTTAGAATGTGACTTTGAAATTTGGGATGAATTAAGAGAATTTGTGAGTATCCTGGAACTACATTCTCTTTCATGTAGTGCCCCATGTGATCACTGTGAAATTAAATACCTAAACTATTCAAAATCTTGGTCTTTTCTAGCTGAAAAAAAAAAAAGAAGAAGTCTACTCAATTTTATTCCTTGCATGATGGGCTGAGCTGACATTATAACTTAATGAAATAGTAGAAGCAGTTCTTACAGGAAAAAATCTCTTTCTGCTGCTGAATTCTGCTCCTTAAGTAACTAGCATATTACACTAGCTAACTCTAAGTGGACAGATGCTAAACCAAGAGGAACCTGATAAGATTACTGAATCCAAAGCAACATGATTATTAGTGGAAATACTCGTTGAGGGGAATCCAGTCACTAAAGGTTTTACTGGCATAGATCATCAGTGTCTTATGCACAGAAAAACTGCCTGGGGAAGTGTCTGTGATAGATATGAGCGACCCAATCAGATTGCATTGCCTTTTCATTTTGTATCAGTTCTAGGAAGTCTTGCTTGCCGTATCAGTTGACCTTCATCGCATCCCAAGAAAGAAACTATCAGATGGGCTCTGTGAATTCACTCTCAAAATGCAGGAATTCCCATCTTCATCCCATCGTGCAGTGGAGGGGGCAGAATGAGGGTGAAGGAGGGTTGACACTGACTGGGGAACAGGAATATCCCAGCTGAGGATTGACTGGGGTCCATGGGTCTCTTCCCATTTTTCTCCACAGGTTTTCCAAAAGGATAAAAGTATCAAGGGCCTGTGGTTAGTCAGCTGAAAGGAGAAGCTGTGTTCACTGTATTGTTTCCCACCTGGCAAGAACCATCTATAATTGCTAGATCTTGTCAGCCTTAAAATGATCAGCTTTCCTATATTCCTCTACAGGAAAGTAAGAGGAACATTTCTCAGTTTGATCTTGGGGCATGAGAGGATTGCTTTTGATTCAGGACTGCTTTCATTTAGGACTCAGGATAAAAATAGGGCCAAAAAAGAAATGTGGAAGAGAAAAGCCAAACAATCTTCTTAGCTTTCAAATTCCTCAGTAGCGGCTAGAGGGGCAGGGGAGAGCGATAACTACCATTGCTGTGGCACTTCAGGAGGAATGACTCTGACAGACTGCAGATGTTTCTCCCTGTAAGAGCCAAGTTTCCATCATTTCCATCCCAAGGACTGACATGGAAAGCACAACCAAACACCGTCCTCCAGGTTCCTCCTGGAGTAAAGCAGTGGTAATTTCTATGACGAGTTTTCACTGCAATAAGAGTTGTTGACACATTCAAGATATACTCTGTAAGGGTGAGAAAAGGGTTCGTGAATGCCTCCATCCCTCACTCATCCTCTAATAATGTCAACAAACAATTATTTGGAAGGATTTTGTCAGAGGGTCTTCTTCCAGCCTGAGCTTTCAAAAGGGCAAGACTCCTTGGCAATGGCAAAGCATGAGATATCGCATGTGTGTGCGTGTGTGTTTGTGTTACAGTGAGGCTATCCCAGATTAACTCAGCTAAGTCTCAGCCAGTAAAGAACCAGTCTGGATCTGTCCTTACCCAGGAACTAAGATCAGGAACCAGCCATCTACAGTGTCCTTCCTCCACGGGGAAGGTACTTTTACTAGTAAATGATGCAGGGTGCTTTCCTGCTCCAGAGGGAGTGCAGCACAGCTCCCAGAGGACACATGTGATGTCATATTTTTCAGTTCATCCATGTAACCAATCTGAATCCTACTCCTTCCTTCCAATGCCCTGATGGCGAAGCGTTACAGCAAAGGCCCTCCCACTGCTCCATCCCCTGCCATGCTCCCTAACGCAACGATTGCCAGAGTCACCTACCATTGCAAATACCTCTGAAGTGTACTGTGAATAGCCTTCGTGCAGCCTTGCAGGCACTGAAGGTCGTGCAAGAAACCTCCCCACTTGCGTGGCTGTGCAAATGACGATAACAGAGAGCTGGCTCTGGAGCGTGCAGGAGCTGGGAAGCTGGGACCAGTGTGCCTGCAGGCGTAGAAAGGGAACTAGGCAGATCCAAGATCCTACCTATATAGCAAGCGTTTGGAGGCGGTGGTGCCTGAAGGTAGAACAGAGACATGCGGAGAGGCTGCTCCTTTGCTTCTGCAAAGCTTCTGACCCATGGCAGCAGCCTTGAATCCATCAGCAACTCCAAATGTTTGCTATGCTGAGCGCTCCTACCTGTCAGGGGATATGTAATTTCTAGCAACAATTAAGACTGTGATTACTCATCCCTGTAATCAAGATTTCAGATTCCTTCCTCTGCCCTAATGTCATTTCTTTCTGGATGTATTGACTGCCTATTGTGCCAAAGACTCTCCAAAATCACGTGAGCTGAAGCCTCAGCCATTTGCCTAATGAGTGGAAAGATTGTGTGGACAGCAGCTTATCCCCTTCGGGTTTGCCAACCAGTTGTGTCTCTGTCATCCAAGTCCACAGGTGTAGACTGTTCTTCTCAGTACCACGCTTCTCTCACTAGTGCCAGGTAACCCACACTGAACGGTCAGTCTCGGTCCTTTGCCCATTTCCTGACTGCGCGGGGAGTTTACTTCCTGCT